AAGCTCCTCAACCTGTAAAGAGTGCTCCTCCACCACATAGAAGTGCTCCCTCACCCGTGAGACATCGCCGTGCTTTTCCATCTTTTGCCCCTGCACCTGCTAGAAGCTATCAGGCAAGCCCTCCAGGTGCCCATCCACCTTTCAGAAGCTATCCAGCAGACCCCCCAGGCTGCAGGTTTAGATTCAGGAGTAGGCATTTCCCAAAAAGCCCTCAACAATCTCCTAGGGCACCTAGAATGCCTCCTCGCAGTTATGTTGCTTCCACACCTCATCCACAAGCTAAGCCACCAACTCCCGTTGCGCATCAGATTTCACCATCTAGTCCTTTGCCAAATGTTATATATGCTCGTGTTCATCCCCCATCAGCAAGTGAAATGGACCCAGGGCCTCCAGACAAGATGCCATCAGTCGCACCTTCTCCATGTAAGTAATACAATTTGAAGTTTTGTTCTTTGCTTCATCTTTACAATTTCACCTTCATGGTGCAGTGAAGATAAATTTTGATATAATGCTTCAGTACTGAAAAGTAATTTGGCTTCTGTTCTGCTTACTATGATCTTGATGCAAATTTTAACTATCAGTGGAACTTTTCAATATAGGCAGGATGTCTAAATTTATATATATGAAAAAATCATCAATTTCATGGAAAGAAGTCACCTGGAATTCCATTGTTTTAGGGTTATTCTTCAAGAACTGTCCAGGGCTCTGTTCTGACTTAGCTTATTTTTGCTGAAACTTTGCTCAACCGAACTTTGCTTGTTTTACAATCGACTTATACTTATTTTTCAACTGACTTTTAGCTTATTTTTGCTGAACCTGACTGTTTTACTACAGAGTACAACTTATTTATATAGGCTGGGGTGAGCACTCTGAGCAGAGCCTAAGCTGTTTACTAATTATGTGACACCCAATTGGGATTAGTGATAACTTGTTGCGTGCTCCAATTTAGAGTTGGGCATTGCCCATTAGTTTCATCTTCTGTGAACAGGCAACAGAGACCTATTTGATATCTTTTGCATACAAGCGGAGTCTATTTTTTGTTATTGTCTATATCTATTTCACATGTAAAGTTTTCCTGTCCGATTAACTGGTTGATTTTGGTGATCCTGGTGTATTTGCAGCTTCTGGAGATCATATTACAGCTATTTCTTGGGTAATCTCACTGTTAGTAGCTCTTTTACTGCATAACTGTTGGTAGAATGTGCTATCCTCTCGTCTAGGTGAGTTCCACTCCATGGCATCTAATGGACTTGTTTGTATCACCCAAAATTGAAGAAAGAAAACATCCTAAGCTGGCGGAAACTTGTAAAGTGGGAGCAATGCAAAAGATGGCATTCTCCACGGTTGCTTGAGTGAATATACGGTGTTGTTTTTGTACATGTAAATATACAATTGAAACAAAATTCGAGTGGCGGGATGCATTCTCAGGTCAAAGTCCACAAAAGTGGCAGGCCACCTTAATGAGAATGCCATAGCCACTTGTTTGTGTAATGAACTCTCTTCTGCAGAAGTGTAAGGCCAAAGTCAAGAATTTATCATCCAATACATTTTTGCCCTTAAAGTCTCAGGCATCACAGGTATGCCATGAGTCTTTTTTATTATATCCGTTGCATTAGGAAATAGGAAGCGATACATTACGCGTTACTATGTTATTACCATATTCGACATCTCAACAACTTTGATCTTCCAGAATTCTACTGGACCCTTAATGGTAGGCTGTCTACTGTCTAGATTTGGTATGTGAAGTTGATTAGTACATTTCCCGAAAGTGACACGATATAATTGCCTTATTATTGTATATTATGTATTGAAAATCTAGATTTGCTCTGGATTATGGTGTATGTTGTAATAGTTTCGCAGTGTTGATGGGAAGTAGCTGTTTGCTTGTTGATTGAGCTTTAGGTTGAGCAGGAATGACTCGTCCAATTTAAGCATCTTTCAGCTTTCACATGTTGGTGACCAACTGGCTTTGCGTATACTTGGAAACCTTAAATAAATAAATTGGTTGTTCTGACAATCTGACACTACCAATATTATATTTTTACAATTTATCAAAAAAAATATACGTAGTATTTATATATATATATATATTCTATTTTTGCAAACAATAATAATAATAATAGTATTATAAAGATTTCTATATTTACAAGTTTCCATCTTTTTTTAACGGTAAAACAATGCTTTTTATCTTTCAATGTGAAATGAGGATAGATTATTTTTAGAAGGGCTTTTGAACTTTTGGAGAGAGTTTGTTTCCTTAATTGTAATTGCCAATATTAGTTAGTCAAAATATGTTTTGTTTTTAGTAACTTTGTAAAAATTTATTCCACGTGTCTTAATCAACCATCTTTTAGATAAATTTTACTCCGTAGTATTTTGAGTTGTTCCATATGTTACTTAGACTTGACTATTTGTATAAGACACATATCATCATGTTTAAGCGTTCAACTTGGCTATTTTGTAAATAAATTGGGTGATTTTGGTCCAAAATAAAGTGTAAGAAGTGTATGTTAACCCTGTAATAATAAGCTTCAGGTCTAATAAGGTTAATGACTTAAGGTGTACATATATATCATAGAAATCATGTCTATTTAGGTCTAATCGGGCCAAATGTATTAAGTTGAATAAATTTAGGTGAAGAAAACGCATTCTTATGTCCATACTCCTATCGAGAATATGACATGAGTACTTGAGGTGAAATGAATAGTTTGGTTGATATAGCTTTTGAGACATTGGTTTGTTATGTTAATAGTATTTATGAGATGGCGATTGTATTAAGGGAATCAAATATTAGAAGAAAAAAAAATTACTTCAGCATATTAAAACTAGGGTAGCAATTTCAGCAATATGTTCTCAAATAGATCATACTCAATTAAATAACTAGCACAAGAATATTGATAATTTCAATATAATTCATGTTACAAATTTATAAAGTATTGCATCTAGGTAATTAGGATTACTTTTCATAGTTTCTTATTTTTTAATACATGCAACAAGTTGAATTTAATAATACATTAAAAGTCAACTTGTTACATGCAATGTATCCAGAAATTATAAATATCTAAGAGAAAAAAACGTCGATGTCTTATGCCTCAAATATTTGAGACGAGCTAATGAAAAAATAGATTATTGTAAAAAATTAATAAAAAATAATATTGTTCACGTGTAATTTGGATTTGATTAAGATCACACATTAATCATAATATCTTGTGGGTTGACCGTAATTTAGTGAAATTTGGATCATACAATTGGACTAAAAGTAATACGTCAATCTGTTATATCACGGGCCTTGGCCTTATTTTGCAAATTGGCTTCTTCTTCATCACATGAAATGCTTGACCTAATATAGTAATATGGGCCTAACACCCCTCTAAAAGGAAAAAAGTCATAGAAATAGGCTTGTGGAGGGGTGGCACTGTGGCGGTGGAGGTGCCGATATGCCGTGGTGGTCATGGAGGTGGTGGATGCGGCGAGGGTTAGGCATTTGGGCTAAGGCATGAGGGGTCTAAGGAAGATAGTTCTTATAGATTAAAGTAAGTTGATTACCTTGTCTCTTCAACTAATGAGAAATTTCTTACGATTAATTTAACAAATAATGACATTTTCTAGTTTTTAGACTATAAAATGTCATGGACATTGTAAATTTTATAACCTTTACGATAGTAAATAGAGTAATACTCTCTACGTATAATATAATAATCACAAAAGGTCATATGCAATGTGTCCATAGGTTGAATAAATGTGGTGATTGAGGCCAAGTATGATAGATGATCCAATTTCTTGTATCTATGGTTGATTGATTAGTCATATTGATGAGCTAAATGCTACTCTTTGGATCTAGTCTTTGCACCAAAACATAGCATTGTACCATGTACCCTTATAAGTCTATGAATGTTATAAGTCTATAAGTCTATGAATGTTATAAAGCCCAATGTAATTATGGAGTTTACAAAATGTACTGAAAGTCAAAATGTTGTAAGAAGCAACCGCTTAAGATCTCTAGAGGAAGGGGCTCAAAACTTAATGTCCTGCTATTATATTTAGAAGTAAACATACAAATAATGCTATTGTATGTTTTTTCTTTGCCTTCTTGACTTGATTAACTTGTTTTGTGGGTGAAATTATTATTAATTGCTAGAACATTTTAATAATTTCAAAAAATATTTAATTTTTTCTTTCTAGTTTAGTGTTTTATTTTATTTTTTTTTTATTTACGGTGTCTATTAATAAATCTCTACTTGAACACTATTTTCTCTTCACCTGAATGTTGCTAAACTCAAATTACTTTTACAATATTTAAAACTTAATTTTATGGATCCTTATACTCCCCCCGGTCTCAATAATCTACAACAAAGGGGACTTTTACGGACTCCTAGGCAAAACTTTTAAGGGATTTTAATGAGATGTTAGGGTGTTTAATTAAGGTGGGAAAAAGGAGGAAAATTGGAGAGAGAAAGTCATGCATGTGACTAAATATTGTTATTGTATTCAATTGGGTGGGAAATAGGAGAGAGAAGGTGGGCCTTTTTTTTTGGGTGGGGAATCTGTCAGCAAAGGGAAGAGGGAAAGTAGTGTTCCCTCTATTTTTTTGGTGTGAAAATTTAAAATTTTCACATTTCCTCTCAAAGTTCAAAATTTTAAAATTTTGGTCCAAATTTGAAAACCATTCAAATTTTAAACAAGACCATTTGTTCCCTAAATCTACTGCATATAAAAAGGCAGCAACCATTACAGTTCATTCATTACAAATCATTAAGCCACCATGGCTTCCAACATCAGAAATTAAGTTTGTTCACAAAAAAAAAAACCCATTAGATACAAGTTTAATTAGTCCAAAATATTTACTGCCTACTCTAACATTAGTCCTAAACTAAAGGGTAGCATAACGGTTCTGCTTCCAGCAACACTTCACCAAAAAGTTTGAGCAACCACAAAAAACATCATCACCTTCCTTCAAATCTACAGGAAAACCAAAAAAAAAAAAAAGGGTATCCAACCAAATGGAACAACATTTTGATCAGGAATTTTTTGATATTGAACAAATCCTAAATGAGGGACCATTTCGGTACATAAGTGATGAAGAGTTCATGGACTATGATGCTGATGCTGACAGCAGTGAAGAAGAACAGGACAACAACAGTGAAGAGGATGAAGTACCACAACAGCAAGCAACAAGCAGACATCAATTAACAGTCCAAACAAAAAGAAAAATGGTTGATGACATTCTACTGAACATGCATGCAGGGGAACTTAAAAGGGGATTTCTGTCAGACATGGGGAGAAGGTATGGGGTTCACAGAAGTACAACACTTAGGCTATGGAAATTTGTAAAGCAAAGTATAGCAGAAGGCAATGTTATTGATGTCAGAAGCAAAAAACTTGGTAAAACTGGTCCAAAACCAAAGGAAATCACTGATGAGTTCTTGCAGTCTGTGCCACTGTATAAAAGGACAACAGAAAGGAGTTATGCATCAGCCCTTAAAATTTCACACTCCTTTCTTCATAAGCTGAAGAAAAAGGGAAGGTTAAGAACACACACAGTAGCAAATCATCCAGCACTAACATCTAACCATAAAGTGGCAAGGCTGAAGTGGGCACTAGAGCATATTCACCCTATTCCAGCAGTTGGTAACCCAACTTTCATGGACATGCAACAACACATACACATAGATGAGAAATGGTTCTATATGAACCCTGAGACAAGGAGGTTTTATTTGCTACCAAAGGAAGAAAATCCCTATAGATGCCAACAGTCAAAGAGATACAAAGTTAAAGCCATGTTCATGGGGGTCATAGGTAAACCCTTGTATGACTGTAATGGGCAAATGTTGCATGATGGCAAGTTTGGCATATTTCCATTCACTTACCAACAGAGAGCAAAAAAGAAGAGTAAAAACAGGGATGCAGGTGTCATGGAAACTAAGGTTGTGGAAAGTGTGAACAAAGAAGAAATCAGAAAAATGCTTCTCCAAAACATAATTCCAGCAATCAAGAGACAATGGCATCCTAGTCTTCCTAAGGACATATTCATCCAGTGGGATAATGCTAGGCCACACCAAATTCCAATGGATGAGGAATTCATTGCAGCCTGCACTTCTGATGGGTTCAACATTCAAATGGTGTTTCAACCAGCACAATCACCAGACCTAAATGTTTTGGATTTGGGTCTTTTCAAGGTCATACAATCTCTGCAATATCAGTCCTTTCCCACAACATTAGATGAACTCATTGACAAAGTGTATGAGGCTTATGAGTGGTTTGATCCAATACTTAACAAGTACACATGGATAACTCTTCAAGGGGTGATGATGAAGATTCTGGAAAAGGAAGGGGGCAACAATTTCAACCCACCACATATGGGCAAACAGAGATTAGAAGCATTAGGCCTACTTCCTACCATTTTGGAATGTGACAGGGGACTCATTCAACAAGCAGTTGCATACCTAAACACATTTTTCATTCCAGTCAACCAGGATTTCCCAGATCAGACTCAAAATGAGGTGGATGCGGACTAGGGGCAGAAGATAGGGACAATCATTCAAGGGAGGCATGACTTCCACACATAACCAAACAAGAACCAAAACCATTGTTTTTGTCACAGTAAGCTTTTGTTTTTTTTTATTGTTGCTTATTATGGTTTGGTTATGTGTCTTTTGGTAGATAACTTGCCTTTATTATAAGGCAGTCATGTAATGAATGATTAGGCTACAGGGGACTTTGTGAATTAACATCTTTTGTATTCATAACAAGGAACTAATGATAAACAAATTGCACTTATATTCCATCAGATTGGGTAGTTTTTTTCCATTGAGAAGTTGTAGGATGTTACCTCAACAACACCTGTACTAGACAGTAGTTGGAGCTAAAGCACTCTACACATCCCACTCAAACTGAGTCCCTTCATCATTTGGAACTATCACACACACATACAGAGGGACTCAATCACACAACACTGAATGAGGGACTCAATATCACATCCAGAGGCATAGACTAGCAAGAAATCTAAAACACATCCAATTGGGGACTCATTGGCCACCAGCACATGCCTCATCATACATCAACTCACATTACCTAACCCAACAAGGGACTCAATCCATTATAGAGGCAGAAATGAACTAGGACAAAAGCAGTGGGTACACAAGCATAGGCAAGTCACAGAAGCAGCATATGCAGTTTCACACACATGTCATGAACAAACAATAACCAGCATAAATAACCAACAGGGTAATAAAACCCTTCTCACAATCAACCAGCAACACCAACATAACAACTTAACACAACACTATCAAACTACATAACAGAGCACGGGGTAAGCAAACCCATTTCAAATTCAACCAGCATAATCAACAAATCAAAACAATAAATTAGGGTTAAGCTAGAAATACTTACGCCGCGCTGATCAGTTGTTGGGGGGGGAAGTCATTAGGGTACTTGTCCCTAAGGTAAGCCATATAGCAAGGGTCTTAGTCGTTGTAGTCCGGAGTGAAGACAAATCTCACTCTTTTCCTTCCACTCGAGCTGCTGGAAGAGGCAGGAGACCTGAGAGACTCAGGCAAAACTCTCCCCCAGGCACTGGTGAGTCTGGAATCACCACCACCTCAATAGGGGGTTGAGGAACTACAACCTCTACCACCTCAGAGTCACCAGAGGACTCCGACACCACAGCAAGAGCGTTTGAAGGCCCACCAACACCCTCCGCAGTAACAACGGGACCCATTTCTAGATCAGTACCTTGTTTTCCGGCCAGATCTAGAACTCCTCCACCCTGGTTAGCACCCCTCTTCTCCTCGTCCTCATCACTGGAAGTGTACTCGCTTAATTTCGCTCCGATCTTCCCTCGAGTGTAACGGCGGAAAAAAGTTGTGCAACGGCGAACAGGCTTCGCAATACCAGTGCCTCGCTGTAACTTGTACACCGTAGAACCCTCAGATCTACGTTCTGGGGTGGTGTTTTTAGGGGACTCAGCGCCGTTTCCGTCCATAGTTACAGAGAGAGAAGAAATAAAAATGGAATTAGGGTTTCACAGAAGAGAGACGATGAGAGAAAACAGGAGAGAGAGTGACGAAAATGAAATAAGGGGGAAGGGTTATGAATAATTTCTGGAGAATTCTCCAGATATGATGAATGAGGGCAGCAAAATCGATACATCTTCCATGAAGATCAATGAATGAGGTGGTTGGGAGTTGAAAGGGTTTAGAAATCACAAGGTTTAAGGGGATTAATTTTTGGTGGGAGTCATTAAATTGTGTGTGTACTTAACAAATGTTAAACAACTTTAAAACAGAAAAACTAAGGGCAAATATGTCTTTTAACACAAAAAAATTTACTAAAAATAGAAATAAAATAATTTGTTGCAGATAATAGGAAGCATCCATTTTTGGCAAATGTTGCAGATAATTGAAACCGGAGGGAGTATAAAGTTTGACACGAACTTATAATTTAATAGTTTATCAGGAACAACCTTGTTTAGTACGTAGTAGTCCGTATTGAGTACTGAGTAGCTTCTAATGTAGAGCTATTTGGCCAATTTCTTAATTAATTTAATGCCATATCATATTAATACATCATGGTTTAATAGCTTTCAGTGTAGATCTTCCCCCTAATTAAATTAATGCCATATTAATACATCAGCTAATTACAGTTTAATAGTTGACTAAAGTGACGAATTCAAGATTAAGACTCCATAATCAGAGGAACAAAGAATTATCTCACTCACTCTCACTCTCACACTCCCACTACACTACACCTGTCACCTTCATTTCACGTTTTTTTCATCAAAAAAATCACTTTCTTTTTATTTTTCGTTTGTTTTTGCTTTCAACCGTTCATTTATTCAATTATTTTAATTTTTCTGAATTCGAGATTCTGAAATTTTGGAGTCATTCTCTCTCCTCCCCATTCGCTAATTATTGATAGCCCCAACGTACGAGATATTTCAATAATTTTCATAACTTTTTATTTTATTTTTAATTTGCAAGAACACTATTTTAATTTATGATACCCTCAAAATATTGGAATTTTAGCTCAGAAAAGAAATAATATCTTCAGTCATTGTACCACAATAAAGGTAACGTGTTGTTGAATTCCCAGATTTTCTTTGTTTTGCATTTTATTTATAATTATATGATAATTTGTTATGAATCCTGCATTTTTTCACACCCTTAAAAGTTGAGAACTTTACTGGGTTCAGTTCTAAAGAAAGGTGATTAAGTAAGCATCACTTTTTTTTTCTTTGTTTTTTTTATTTATTTTTATTTTTTATATATATAATTTTTTCCTGCATTATTTGATTTTTATCTTATTAGATTAGATTTTAATCTTGTTCATCACTTTTTTGTGTTCAATTTTAGTGAATATTCAGCAATCATTATGAGAATCTGATCCTCTTTTTCTGGGTTTTATTGGGTTTTGTCTAGCTACTACAATATGGGTAACAATCAATTCATTTATCTCATAATGTAGTTTGTCAATTACTTGTATAATGGAATTTTAATATTTTTTTTTTAATTTTATTTTACTGGTGATTTTGAAGGGAAATGATCAATTCTTTATTCATTTCTCCAATGTATATGTTCCAACATTTTTCTAATGTATATGTTCCAATTTCCAATTATTGCCAAAAATTGTGAAATTATTGCTATTTATATTCAATTTGGGCTTCTTTTAGACTTTTCCCATGTCATCTTTTGTGTGATTTGAGGTGATTAAGTGTGCGTTGTATATAATACACCAGTTTTTTCTTTTCTGAATGCCACTTTGAAATCTGAATTCGGAGTTAGTTCAAAAATTATTTATTGACAATCTTCATTTGGTTCATGCTAGATTATTGGTGGTAAAGCTGAAGATTTCTGGTTTTAGGAGAAATGGTGAATTTAGGAATATTATCCAGTGAAAATGCAATCAAATCAGTGAGTGTCAATTTCAGAATACCATATTTTACTCACTGGGGTCAGAGCTTACTTGTTTGTGGGTCAGTTCCATCACTTGGTTCATGGAATGTGAGAAGGGGTCTGTTGTTGAGTCCTATAAGTCAAGGTAGTGAGCTCATATGGGGTGGGAGCATTGAAGTTCCGAGTGGGTTCGAGTGCGAATACTCTTACTATGTAGTGGATGATGATAAGAATGTTCTGAGGTGGGAAATGGGGAAGAAGAGGAAGCTTTTGTTGCCATCAAGCATACAGGATGGAGAAATTGTTGAGTTTCATGATCTTTGGCAGGTATATATAGTTTCTATATACTTGGTTCTACCCTCTCAATATTTACTTGTATGCAAATACCACTTAATATTATTATATGAGCTTGGCCTTTAAACTTTTAAAGGCCAAAAGATTTATTTTTATTTTTTTTAATCATTATTGTTTTTGTGAATATATATGTCTTATTGTTTTTTTTTTTTTTTTTTCCCTAGTGCAAGATGTTAATATGTTATCCTAAGTAGTTGTGCTTTACTGATTAATATTATGCTTAGTTTATTATAATAATAAAGGAATATAAGTATATTACTGGAGTTCAAAACTGATATACCGAGCAATAACCCTCTTATGTACTTATAGATTATTTTACTGTCAATATCATTATTGAATGACGGTTAATTAATCTTCATGATAATGCTGTTTGGCTCCTTTTCAAGGTTGAAGTCTTTCATATCAAAAAGGAAAAGAAAAGAAAAGAAAAGAAAAGAAAAGAAAAGAGTATACTAGAGAATTTGGACTCTAGGACATGAAGGATTCTTTCACTAAAGTAATCGAGGGAAATTCACAGATATATCTAAAAAAAGTTTCTTGGTTCATTACTTAAAAATATAATTACTGGTAATTTCATTCATATACCGTAACTTTAGTAACTATTCTTACCATCAGCTCTGAGTTCACCTGCCTTGCTATTTGGTCAATCTTGTCAGCTGACTAATGCTGTATCTAGAAGGTGATTTGGCATTTTCTTAAATATTTTTTATCCCCCCTAAAGTGTTTGCTAATTATATTTGGTATTTGACATCCAGACTGGTTCAGATACTCTACCTTTCAGTAGTGCATTCAAGGATGTCATCTTTCGTAATAGCTTAAGCTTGACCATTGAGAGGCCCCTTGGTGTCCTACAGAATGAATTAAGTCTTGAAGGTATTTTTCTTGCTTCTGAACTTTTTCTCTGTCTATTGTCTGCATTAATTTTGCCCCCGTTTCTGATCAATTGGTTGTTCGATTGTCTTGAACAGATTCAGTCCTCGTACATTTCAAAATTTGCTGTCCTAACATAGATGAAGGGACATCTGTAAGTCCTATTTCCCCCCTTTTGCAGTTGGTTATTGCTTTTTGTCTGCACATTGTAATCTAGACTTTTTTTTTTTCTTTCTGTTTGAGTCGCAAGATGTATCAAAACTTGATTGTCTTTTGGTTATATTTGCAGGTTTATGTGATAGGCAGTCCTCAAAAGCTGGGGCAGTGGAAGACCGAGGGTGCTCTAAAGCTCAGTTATGCTGGTGAATCTATTTGGCAGGCAGACTGTTTGATGGGAAAAGAGGATTTTCCTATAAAATATCCTTTTGAAGGTTTTTAGAACGGCCTCCTTAGGGTTTTGTCAAAAGGGTCTGGCTACCGCATTCTTACATGGTGTTTTCTGTTATAAAGATTGGTTGCTACTAACCCAATTTTCTATTTTCTTCAATTCCTTAGCTATTATCTCACATACAGATATGGAAAATATGATAAGGCTGGAAAGTTTGCGATTGAGATAGGGTCAAATAGAGAGCTTTCAGTGGAAGCATTGAGTAATAAAGCAAGATATATCTTCCTCTCAGATGGGATGATAAGGGTAAGCTCTTAATTAGTTCACTGGAATCTTTTAGATGTCATATCAGTCTAGAGAATTTATACAGCATTGGTGGCTTGTAATGTCAGGAAATGCCATGGCGAGGATCTGGCATGGCAATCCCTATGTTCTCAATTCGATCAGAAGATGATCTTGGAGTTGGGGAGTTTCTTGACCTGAAGTTACTTGTTGACTGGGCTGTTGCCTCAGGCTTCCATTTAGTTCAACTTTTGCCGATCAATGACACCTCTGTACATGGAATGTGGTGGGATTCATATCCTTACAGGTTAGGCTTGATTCTTGATGGTTCAACTACTTATCCAGGTCTTTATTTTTGTGCCTGCGCGTGAAATGTTTGATTTTGCAACATCATGTTTTCGTTTGGCATTATTATATTTCTGCTATTCTGTGTATTAGCCATGCTGGCCAATAAGCTTCCTGGGACTGGTTTCTTTGTTTCTTTTTTACCTGCATTCATTAGTTTTAAGGAAGCACCTGGTTTTCTTAGTAATATAAAAATGTTTCTTTTCTCTCTATGTTTTGCAGCTCTCTGTCTGTATTTGCATTGCATCCCTTGTATCTGAGAGTTCAAGAACTTTCTAAGAAAATTCCTGAAGAAATTAAGGTGCTTCAAATCTGTAAACTATATAATTCACTACAACTTCTACCTTGAATCCAGGCATCCAGCGATTATTTTGTCATTCTGTTCTGTTAACAAAAAGCGATTGTTCTTATTCTTGCAGCTTGAGATTGAGAAGGAAAAAGAAAGACTGGATTTAAAGGTACTCTCTTAATTAGACTGATGGGAAGTAGCTGAAAAATTTAAGTGTTCCCTGATTAGAACTTCAGAAGTACATAGTATATGATTATAATTTTTTAGACTTTATTTTAGTGGATTCGTCAAAAGCCCTGAAACTACATTTCAATGTTAGCTTCACTTGCTGGATTTATCTGTCAAACTTAATATTTGGACTGGCCTGGCAACCATGTTTCACAACTCTTTGGCACATAATTAGTGTTTTTTCTGGATAATAACCCTGTTTATGCTGTGGCATATGCTTTCTGAAGTTAATCCATCCGCTCCTTTTTGTTTGTCCCAATTGGCTTTTGCAATGCACACAAAGTTATGCTTAATTAAGAAACAAATGTCCTAAATTCCAATTAATTTGGGTCAGGCTTTTATCCCTAAAACCCAAAGCTGTGCAATGAAGTATCTTGTTGGGACATTATGTATGCTCTTTTTCTCTCATATGTTCCCTATGATATTTGAGTATATGGTGTTAGATTGGTGTGAACTTTTCCCATGTTGCAACTGGATACATTTGTGCGGTAATATTGTCAGTTACTAATCTCAAAGAAAATGAGTGCATAGTGGTTGGTCTCTTCAATGACTGCAGCAAGTTGATTATGATGCTACAATGACTACCAAGCTTTCCATTGCTAAGAAGATTTTCACCCTGGAAAAGGACCTGATACTCAAGTCTTGTTCTTTTCAGAAGTTCTTTTCTGAGAACGAGGTTTATATTTATCAATCTGAGAATTTCTTATCCGTTGTTTATTTCATTTCCTGCTATCAACGGCCTAACCCCTTATTTTTGATGAACAGGAGTGGCTGAAACCTTATGCAGCCTTCTGTTTTTTGCGGGATTTCTTTGAAACCTCAGATCATAGTCAGTGGGGCCGTTTTTCCGAATTTTCGAAAGAGAAGGTAACCCTACTTTTGCTTAGTAATTGGTTGTTTCCATTTGCTTATAAATTAGAAGGTGCTTTTTCGGGCTAGTATGAAGTGTGATGGAAATTTGAGAGGCTTAGTTGATGTATTTTGTCCATAAAAGCTACTATCTGATTGTTACCAAAAAATTAACAGAGGTTTTCTGATTCTGCAGCTTGAGAAACTTGTCTCAGAAGACAGTCCCCACTACAACATTATTTGTTTTCACTATTACATACAATTTCATTTGCACTTACAGGCGAGTAATAAATTTTTGTTCCCAAATTATGCTATATTAACAAGAAATCTGAATCTGGCTTTCTCATGAGATAATGTTATTGCAGCTGTCAGAATCTGCTCAATATGCAAGGAAAAAAGGAGTAGTGCTGAAAGGAGATCTTCCAATTGGTGTGGACAGAAATAGTGTCGACACCTGGGTCTACCCAAATTTGTTTAGGATGAACACATCAACTGGTGCACCACCTGATTATTTTGATAAAAATGGGCAGAATTGGGGTTTTCCAACGTATAATTGGGAAGAGATGTCAAAAGACAACTATGGATGGTGGCGTGCTCGTTTGACTCAGGTTTTAAGGCTTAAGTGTACTACTTTACTGACTAGCACTTTCCAACTCCGCGTGGGTTTTTAATGATGTTAACTTTCTCTTTTTTCTGTCCTTTATCTTAGATGGCGAAGTACTTTACAGCTTATAGAATTGATCATATATTGGGTTTCTTTAGAATTTGGGAAATGCCAGACCATGCTATGACTGGACTAGTTGGGAAGTTCAGACCATCAATTCCCTTGAGCCAGGTAACAGAAAACTTTCTCCATAGATATCTTCTAATATACCATCAACATGCCTTATTTAGCATATTGCAGCATTCTTGTGGCTGTCCAATGAGTGAATATTGTCTGTTTACAGGAAGAGCTTGAAAAAGAGGGGATATGGGACTTTGACCGGTTGAGTCGTCCATACATTCGACAAGAGTTTTTGGAGGTTAGAATTTCTGGTTACTTATCTCTTGCCTTCTTTATGTAGGTCTTATCCATGCATTATTATGTATGTAGTTCCTAATATTATTATCAATTTCTTCTTTCAGGAGAAATTTGGTTCTTCTTGGTCAGTTGTTGCAGCTCTTTTCCTAAACGAATGTCATAAGGGGCATTTTGAGGTATTCTACATTTAGAATCTTTTCAGTTCTAGCTTTCCTTATCCCTCTGGCCGTCCAGGTGACAGTTGTAATTGATCAAACATTTCAAAATTACTTGGGCATGCTCTGTTGCAAATTTGCAATTGAGTAAACACAATAGTAAATAAAAAATTGGACAAAGCATCAAAAGACTTGTCGTGCTGATTAAAAAGAGACACCCGTATCATTGAAAAAGTTTTTGTCTTCCTGTAGTAGCTGAAGTTATTACGTAGTTTCTCTTGTCTTCCATATATGCTTTTGGAGGTGGCACTGGGTGACTAAGAGCTATATTCAATTGCCTGGGTAGCAAATTGCTTACTGGCAAGCTGAATAGGATGCTATTTCAAATCTGTTGTGGCTTGTAGTTTGATAAATCAGAACCTGGAAAAAAAGTTATCAATTTTGTTCAGCAAAATTTTGATGACCCTAATTGCAGATACTGTCCACTTTCCTGATGTTGCCTTCTCTAATTCAAGGCACCCATCTTCTGTTGGCTTATTGCTTCCAAGTACAGTAGCTCTGACATTATTCCAGTAATACAGAATTTCATTTCCGCTATTCTTTCTTCTGTCTCTCTTTTGTCATCCATTCTAATGCATTTCAGGACTACTGATGACCTGATTAAAGTGTGAACTGCAAAGTAGGAGATTAATAGTTTTTATTTACAAGAATTATCATTCTTCCAAATTCCAAACATAGAATGGTGTTGACTTACTATATCACATAGATTAATTTTGGAGGTTTAGTGAAGAGGATACTTTAGGGGAGGATCTGGAGTATGTTATGATAGAGAAGCATAAGCAGAAAAATTATCTAATGAACAGTTTTTATTATCTGTGGTGATACTAGTATTTCCCCTTTCTGTTGTTGTACTGTCTCAACTCTAGTCCAAGTATAAACAGTTCAATGCTTTCTGTGCCTGACAGTAATTATTTTCTAGTTTAAGGAAGATTGCAACACTGAGAAGAAGATAGCTTCCAAGCTCAAGGAATGCACAGGGAAATCGTTGTTGCTTGGAACTGAAGCCGAGCTAAGGCACAATCTGTTTGATCTTTTACGGGTAAAGCATGATGGCAAACTAAATTATTTTATTCTGTGTGCTTTGCTTCTGAGTAATTTCTCATATTTGAATTTAATCTTACAGAATATAGTTCTGATCAGAGATCCAGAAGATGCTAGCAAATTCTATCCTCGTTTCAATCTTGAGGACACTACAAGTTTTAAAGATCTAGATGATCACAGGTAGCAAATCCCTGCCTTCAGATATATTGTTCTTTACTAAGCTTGTAACTTGCAGTTTTTCTGTGCAGCTGAAATTTGTTGAAATTGTTATAAGACACAACCCAGTGTGGTTCACCTTTATCATTATTATTTTTATTTTTATTTTTAATGGTTCAATGTCCAACTTATTTGAAAGTTGAAAAGCTCCAATACAAGCTCTTTGTTATAATATATTGGTTCAGTGAAAAAGTATTGCCCCCACAGTCTGATACATCACACATTCACACATCATAGTCGGAGCAATTCTTTATAGATGGGTGGCATGGTTTTTGAGGATTTTGAGAGGAAATATACCTTTTGTGTTCCATTCCTTAAAAAAGTCAATGGTAATTGTGGCCTATTATATGGGGACAAAGATGTACTATTTAGAGAGCTAAACAAGATCATTCGAGGAGATAATGTAAGAAGAGATGCCTCATAGGAAGGGACTTCTGAACCAAAAGTTGAGTGCTTGAAAGAAGATAAAATTAGGATAGATGACCTTTGTTCCTTTCTTGATTTCTATGTTGTTTAAAATAGTGGGTACCTTTCAATTGTATTCAGCCTGATACATAATTCAGCAAAGAGTACATCTTCTTTACCCAAAATGAATACATGTGACATGATGAGGATTGCTTGTAAATATTCTGACTCATGTCTTCTTGACACAGTAAAAATGTTATGAGAAGATTGTATTATGATTATTATTTCCAACGGCAAGAAAACCTTTGGCGCCAAAATGCTCTGAAAACCCTGCCAGCCCTCTTGAATTCATCAGATATGTTGGCTTGTGGTGAAGATTTGGGGATGATTCCTTCTTGTGTTCATCCTGTAAGTGGACTCCTAAATTTCTTGGCTAATTTCATCTCTGTGTACTAGAGTAGCCACCTTTGTTACTAATTATAATTCATGCAGGTCATGCAAGAGCTCGGATTAATTGGCTTAAGGATTCAGCGTATGCCAAATGAGTCTGATTTGGAGTTCGGCATTCCTTCCCAATATGGGTATATGACAGTAAGTCGTCTATAACCTCCTCTTCTATGAAAAGTTATGTACACCATTATAGCTGATATGGAATTGACTTACTATAAGATTAAGGTAGTTGAAGAAACAGTTTTGTGATCTTTGGGAGTATATATTGCAATAAAGGAACCAAACAAAGTTGAAAATTGGGATAATTACCAAATACAATACACATGTTTAGTCTGTATAACATTTAGGGTTTATCACTTATTTGTCGCCATTACTAATTTTATGCAAGTAAATGTCGTTGGAGAATTTTTATTACCGATATGGGAAATACCCTTTATATAACAATCTAGCTACATTTATCTTTTCTTCAATACCTTATTCATCTTTTCATAATTTTCTGTTTGTTTGTTTATTTAAGTAAACGATTTAAATTTATTTACCATTCACTGTTATATTTATGTGATCCAACCTAAAGGAATGTCTGGAACATGTTTTGCTTGTTTCAGGTATGTGCTCCATCGTGTCATGACTGCTCTACTATGCGTGCTTGGTGGGAAGAAGATGAAGAGAGAAGACGTCGATTTTTCAAGACTGTCGTGGGATCAAATAAGCTATCACCCAGCAAATGCACACCAGAAATCTCTTATTTTATCATACGCCAGCATGTTGAAGCCCCTTCAATGTGGGCTATTTTCCCTCTCCAGGTACAAACAGACCTCTTTTCATGCTGTCATTATAGCCAGGCGATGGATCATCATTTGACGTCAAGAACTTGTCAACCTTTTGTTTTCAGGATCTACTGGCCTTGAAAACTGATTACACAACACGCCCTGCAACTGAGGAGACAATCAATGATCCCACTAATCCGAAACATTACTGGAGATTCCGTATGTTTAAGCTCCTATTTGTTGATTTCCTCTGTTTTTAAGCTCCTATTTGTAATTTAGCAGACCACTTTGTTTCGTGCTTTCGAAAGACTGCTAAGCTGCATTTTTTATCTGTTAATTATGTGTCGAATAATCTTGATTCCAAATTTCAACTTGTAGGTTCCCATGTTACCTTAGAAACATTGCTGAAGGACCAGGAACTGAAGACTGCAATTAAAGACCTTGTACGTAGCAGTGGGAGATCATATCCTCGTGATGATGACGAAACACTAGCTGCTTCAAGCAAAGGGAATCAGCCGAATGCATTAGCATCGAACATAGTCCAGTCGAATGGTGTCTCACAAAAGGAGGCAGTGGCAGTTCTGTAAAGATTTTCTTGTAAGAACAACTAGGGCAGTTTGCCCAAAAAAAAACACCGAAAAATCAACAATCATCATGTAGTAATAATTTGTAATTCTGTAGACAATCTGGTACATCCAATCTTTCTTTTGGATGAAATTGAATAAAATTCTTTGATATTAGTCTAATATTTACCAGATTTCACTGTCTTGATCGAGTTTTGAGATTGATTTATCAGGAATTCAGGAAGGCATTGACGTTATATCTTTTTTGGTGGCGTTTAAATGTAAGAAAGAGTTAAATATAATAAACACGCAATTTTGGTTTAAAAAACAAATAAAAAAAATCATTAACCCGAAAAAGAAACTTCATATTTTATAGAGGATAAACCCTCGAAAATTCACTATACGAAGCATAAGAGAGTACAACAAACTCACAAACGAGTTTTCAAACAGAATATTAGTGATAATAGTGAACTAAATCACTAATAGCAAGATAATATTAGTGATAATTGTGTATATATTCAAGTAGGAGATGTGTGAATGGCAAGATAATATTGTGATTTGTGAATGTTTTGATGGCCTTTTTGCTGTTTTGCATTTGAATTCTATAGAATTCTAGAAGCTATTTGAATTCTACAGAATTCTATAGAACAAAGATAGAATCTTGAGAATTTATGTATATCAACCTAGAAGTTAAGAAATGGATGAAGAGAATTTTGAGTTACCTAAAAAAATAATAATATGGTGTATGATGTAATTGTGTACATTATCTAAGTAATTATTCCTTTTTCTTTATTTGTTACTCGTATATTGTATCACATATTCATATACTCCATATAATACAATATTTTTTTTTTTGAGGAAACCATATAATACAATATTAGTTTTATGTTTTCGGATGGTTTGGAATTAAAAAATAATAATAAATTTTTTTATTTTTTTTTTTGAAAGAAGTCCTACAAAAAAAAAATTATGATGTTTTCGGATGGTTTGGAATTAACTTATGAAAATGAAACATGTAAGATAGGAAAATGTTAATTACAAAGTATATATGGACGGAGTACAATACAAGCATCTAATTTGAGACAATGTCACATTATTTAAACTTGTTACCTGTAAAAGTTTATTATTCTATATATTTGATTATTACTTCATATTTGTTTTTTTGGACAAATAGTTATTACTTTTTTAACTTATGAATTGTGATTAATGATAAAGACTAGGAGCTAAATTAAGGATTTGCACAAGATGGGTAAACAAACACTTTTCTTGTAACAAAATTCCATTTCCTTTTCTTTCTAAAAAGACAACTCTTATTGCTAAATATGCAAAACACAATTTACTTATTACAAAAACTAATGTTAACAAATCTTTGCTGTGTGAGAGTGAAATGGAAAAACAATGCTTACCGAAAAAGAAAAAATAATCCCTTAAAATAGAAAGACAGTTAGCGATGACAACGCTTCGAAATTGGGTTGAGGACAAACACTTGGGGTGAAAAATGAAGAAGAGAGAATTTGTTCTTAAAAAAGTAAACTTTTCTTTCAAAAAAAAAAAAGAGAAGTGGAAAATAAATGAAAGGTAGTTTTTTGAATTTATTATTTGAGAAAGGGGAAGGAGAAAGGAAAGAAAGGAGCACCTTAATTGTGTATGTTTTCAAGGAGGAGTATAATTCCTCTGAGAAGACTACTCTTTATCTATTCTTCTTCATCATTTTGATTGTCTCGCGCTCTCTTTGGCTTGTTTTCGTCGTGCCTGAATGCCTTTCTCAGTGTTCAGGGTTCGTTTTAATCTCTGTCTTTCCTTTATCGATCAAAACTTTACATTTAATAAATTTTAGTGTAAGAATGAAATATAATTGATTTTTTTTTTTAATTTTTTTAAAGATAATGCAATAATTGTTATGCTCTTAACAAAGTCATTTATTGTTTTGTATTTAAGTAAATTTTAGTGTAAGGATGAATTTAATGTTCTTGTTATAATGTTTGATGTTTTTTGAGTAAATAATATTATTGATAATGAAATTGTTATGTACTTTACAAATTGATAATATATGAATGTATAAAAAAACATAAAATTTAGTGTTGTAAATATTACTTTTTCATGAACTTTACTTCATGTATGTATCAAAAAAAAAAAAAAAGGTCATGTTTTTACCTTTTTTCATGTAGCAAGAGAGTGATAATTAAATGATGAGATCGATATTCATTCCCTTTTGTTTTTTTATCATGTTGAAATTGTAATAATGAGTTTTGTTTCTTGATTATTTTTTAATTATTTGAATGATAAATCTTGCAGAATTCTGACGAGATATGTACAGAGGAGCGAGGGACAAATACATAGGTAAGTTAATTAAATATAAAATATTTATAGTGTCGATTTTTTTTTTTAAAAAAAATGGTTATGATTTTTGCCTAGTTTAATTATTCGTCTGAGTTATTTTTTTGTAATACTTGATTGTATGTAGGAAAATATATATATCCAATGGCTACAATTCATTCTTGGGATAGCTAAATGTTGAAAGGAATTTTTAATTTCTTCCTCTTTGATAATCAACCTCAATTTCAAAAGTCTACTAAACAGAATTGTGAAGTGCTTGTTCTTCAATCACCCTCACTTAAACTCGATTCCGAAATGGCTGTAGTTGTCGATCAACATCATGGAATAACACCTCCTTCTCGATCACAAAGATGTAGGCTTCTGTCTTTCACCAATCTTGATTTTGTTGCGGTCGAGCCTAGCCCAACTGATGTGGCTCATTCCTTAGGGCAAGCGGATCTTAGTAGAAGCTTCCAACGGCGAAGTTTCTCTACTCCTTGCTTGACTTTAAATAACAAGGTGGATGCTTCGGTTTATGGTGAAACTCGAAAGGTTGAACTCATTGGTGGTAAGGGCGCCTCTAAAGCTCGAGCACTTGTTGTTGAGGTTGCTATAGCTTTAGCCTCTGGTGTGGAACCGGTGCCGGTTTCAAATGGTTTAGGAGGGGCTTACTTTATAAATAATAGGAACACAGAAATTGTCGCGGTCACAAAGCCAATGGATGAGGAGCCTTTAGCATTCAACAATCCAAAGGGGTTTACAGGGAGAATGCTTGGGCAGCCTGGAATAAAACGCTCAATTCGAGTTGGCGAAACTGGCATAAGAGAGTTGGCTGCTTATCTCCTTGATCATGATGGTTTTGCTGGAGTTCCTCCTACAGCACTTGTCAAATTCTCTCATGTCAATTTTCATGTAAATGACCTAGCTCCTATATCATCACCAAGATACAAAATCGCGTCTCTCCAACGCTTTGTAGAGCATGATTCAGATGCAGGGGATGTTAGTCCTTCTGGGTTTTCAGTCTCTTCGGTTCATCATATTGGGATCCTTGATATAAGGCTTCTAAATATCGATCGACACTCTGGAAATATACTAGTTAAGAAGTATGAACTAGACAAGCACTCTCTAGGTGCCGCCGAGCTCATTCCTATTGATCATGGCCTTTGTTTACCTGAGTGGTTAGATGACCCTTATTTCGAGTGGCTCCATTGGCCTCAAGCATCGATACCCTTTTCAGATGTCGAGATAGATTATTTATCAAATCTTAATCCATTTGAAGATGCTAGGCTTTTATGTACTCAACTCCCTCGCCTCAACGAGTCTTCCATCCGTGTTCTTGTTGTTTGCACCATCTTCTTAAAGAGAGCAACTGCGGCGGGTTTATGCCTTGGTGACATAGGTGAGATGATGACTCAAGATTGCCATGGCGGCGAGGAAACAATGAGCGTGTTGGAAAGAATTTGTGGTAGAGCAGAGGATGCTGTTTCTTTGCTAACAAAAGATGTTGAAAAGATAGTAGAAAATGAGTCTTCTATGTTTTTGTTTGATGAAGAATGTGAAGAAGAAATCCCAAAAAGTATGTCTAAACATTATAACAAGGCATTACAAACACAATTTTCTACAATAGGAAAGCCACCACTTGCACCACTACAACCTCATTTTGTAAAGGAATTTTCATCTGATAATGATAAGAAGTTATGCTCACTAATAGAGCATGGACATTGTCAAAGTGTTGGCATGGATGTTAATGAAACTCGAAAGGCGGGACACTTGGTTAAGAGCATCAGTTTCGCGGTACCAAGCAGAAAGAGTGAAATTGAGGGCATCTCTTTTAAAAAATTAGACCAAGAAGAATGGGAATTATTTCTCGAAATTTTTGAAAGGCTTTTACCTGAGGTGTTTGAGGAACGGAAGAGTACTGGTATAACCCAAAGAGTGGGTTCAGCTTGAAAAAAGTTTCGATAAATTTTAAATACAGGTCTGGACCACACCCGTGAACCAAGAGAGAGTGTCCACTTCACAAGTCCAAAGGAGGTTCCATTCCAAAGCGATATGGCAATAGGAAGAGTAACTCTTTAGCCTTATAAAGCGATAAGTTATCTCTTCTTCAACCAATGTGGAACACTTACATGTGGTGATACGTGAAAGGTCTATTCTTCAACAAATAATAAGCTCCCTTGCTACAAAGTTTTTCATTTTTATTCTAGAGAAAGCTAGTAAGTATTCCATATTATCAACGCCAAAAGTATGATTAGCAATGTTGCCCTAATTACTTGTTTGTATGATTAGTTGTATACAAGCTATTACTAGAATGTAGATATAGTTAATTAGGTTTTGAGGGGGAAAAGAGATCGGCCACAAGTTGAGATCCTTTCCCCTATGATGCCTTCTTCCCCATCTATTTTTTTGTTAACTATTTTTTTATGATTCCTTGACAATCTTGTATACAATGTCAAGAGATAAAAAAAAAACAAAAGATGTGAAATTGTACAGGTATACATCTTGTAATATAATGGAAAAGCAGCTTGGTATTTAATTATATCACTACCTTTTCAAAAGTATGAGAAACAATTATTAATAGTGTGAGGACAATTATATCTTTAAAAATATTTGTTTACCTACATGCCCATATTAATATGATGTTAATTGTCTTTAAGCATTTTCTTGTGTGATTTATTGATTTAAGCCTTATGAATAGTGTTTGGACAATTATACCCTCTAAAATGTCCGTTACTATTATTTGTCTTAACTTTTTATTTAACTTTCAAGAATAATGTACGAACATTTATAATTTAAAAAAAAAATTGTTTACATATTTTTATGTTGCCAACAACTAAAAGAGCTATTTGAAAATAACTAGAAATGGCACGCACATAACATCGTGTGCGTTAGCCATCTTATTACATACATAATTGCAAGCTTCTAGTTTAGAAAGAAAACAAAGCAAGTTGACAATCTATCCATGTTCAAGAATATACTATGAAGTAAAAGAACAATATGGAAGACAAGGATAAGGATACAAACCATATTTGGTAAATGACTTTTTTGTTAGCTTTTGGCTTTTGACTTTTTTATGTGGTCATCAAACGGCAAAAAAAAAAAAAAAAAAAAAAGTATTTGGTAATTGGCTTTTCATTTAGCGAAAAAGCTGAGTTTTAAGCCAAAATGAAAAAGATGCTATGAGAAGCTTTTTTTGTTGGCTTTTAGCTTGTTGACCAAAAAATTATCTAATAAACAACCAACCGCCAAAAACTAAATTTACCAAATAGTTTTATTAATAGCCAACTTAAACAACTAATTTCAAAAGCCAGTATAAACAACCAAATATTCCACCTAAACAAACAAGCCAAGTGAACCAGCAAACCGTACTGCTAACAACCATTTGGCAAACAAGGCCAAAGTCTTCCTCATCATAGTGAATTGATAACTAGGGCGCTAGCAGAAGGGGAGAACCAAGACTCGTGAGATGTATCGGTAAAATAAGAATTTCTTTTTTAAAAAATAAAATAAAATAAAATAAAATAAACATGCATTAGAAATACTGTAATAGTACAATTTATTTTGATATCAATGAAATGAAAGGAGAGACCGTTAATAAGAGTAATTTAATACACTTTGCCATTCATTCCTAATTTTATCTCAACTTATAATAATCTTTATCCCATATCATCGGCTCCTTTTTTTTTTTTTTTTTTTTTTAGAAAGATATCATTAGCTCCTTATCAAATATTTAAATGTTTAAGTTTTTAAAAGTAAAATAATACTTTCTCCATTATATATTACTCGCAACAAAGGAATATTTTATGTCTCACAAATAATACCCCTTTGTTGCAAGTAATTTGTAACAGAGGAAGTATTTATGTGAGTTTTATGTATTTATGACACATTTTTATTTTAAGCCCTCATGCTAAAGTTTCTTCTATAGGTACCACGTATCAATTATTTGTTACTCGGATTTTTATTTTACACAATTTTATAAGAAATAAAATAAAATAAAATTTTGAATTTATGAATCTTTTAAAGAAAGATCTATAATTTATATGGTAAATTGTTTTTATCAACCCATCTCCCTAAATTTGAATTAAATTGTTTTATTAACTCATCTGTCTAAATTTGATTAAACTTTTACATTTCTTAGCCATAAGTTATATAAAAAAAAAAAAAAAAAATTTTGACTCTTGGTACCTCGAAAATGACATCTGCTGACTTTTGTTACCAATCCAAAATTTTATTTTATTTTGATACCTATCAAAAGTTACAAAATATAGATTTTAGTATCACTTAACATAATCCGTTAGTTAAGAGGTTGTTAAGTGGGGTCCATTATGTAATTAATTAATAATTCAATTTATTAAAGAAAAACTTTTAAACAAAACCCAGCCACTGCTACTCTTCCCCTCTCCCCGTCAGCAACCCTTCACCTTCCCCGTGCCGGTGACAGTGCCCAAAAGTTCCCCCGTGATCCCAGCCCTCTATTTCCTTCCTCTTAGCCTCAACAGTAGCAAAATTGCAGCAATCTCCCCTTTTAAATTGCTGCTCCCTCACGCGGCTCCACCACCAGCGTTAATAGCGGACTGCCGTTCTTTCCTCCCCAGCCCTCCGCACCTCCTCAGCTCGACATCGCCGTTTTTCCACTTCCCCAAAACCCCTTTCACACTCCCCCGCAACCACCACAGAAACCCCTCAGGCCCTCATGCACTCCCATAATTTCGAATCGATCCTTCCCCTACCCCGAAACCCTAGTGGCTAGGGTTTTTGATGTTGGGGATGAGTGTTTGGGCTTTTTCGAGAGTGGGGGAGGTGAATTAAGGGAGTTTTGAGTGGTGGTGGTGGTGGTGGTGGCGGTTGGAGTGTGCAAGAATTGTTGGCCTAGTTTTTCGGGAGTGGGGGAGGTGAATTAAGGTAGTTTCGCTGGCTGTGGTGACTGGGTTGCGTGCTTGGCCGCAGCGACTGGGCTTCTGTGGCAGGCTACTATGGTGACTTGGTTGTGCGCTTGGTTGCTATAACGGAAGACCAGCAGTGACCGTGTAGGTGGCTGAGAAGGAAGGGGTGGCTGGACGATGGTTGGGCGCCACTAACGGAAACTGTAAAGAAGTTAGACGGAGGTATAAAAACTATACTTTTAGAATTTAATAGGTTCCAAAATAAAATAAAATATTAGATGGGTGTAAAAATCACCAGAAGCTTTTTTCAAGGTACCAAAAGTAACTCATCAATATATTAATTAATTTGTTTTATAGAGCCACAAGGTCGAGACCATGGGGGGTGAGAATCGATCGAGGATCTCTTGGAATCAGAGAAAAACTCTAACCACTTTTAAAGAATCTTATTTTTATTCATTTTTTAAGATCATTATAATTAGGCAAATGTTAAATATAGCCCTTAGGGCTATGTATAACTATTAATACATGTCTAGATTCTCTTATATTTTCAATAAAAATAATAGTGTACATGTTTAATATTTATGGGGAATAATAAAAAAAACAACAAGTCAATAAATAGCACATACCCACACAAATATGTTAATTCCCCATGAAACTAATGCTTGGCGCCTAAATTGGAATCAGATTTTTCATCTTACTCATATCATAAAAATATATGAAAAAAAAAACCTGAAGTCTCCATTAAATCAACTTACAACATTTCATCTTCATCATTTTACATCTTTTCTATCTATACTAGTGGGGAAAATTAAAAAAAAAAAGGTTAGCAAGAGTCTTATGAATTATTTTTTATGCTAAAAGGTATGTCTTTTTGTCTTTTATGAGATGAATATTTTGTTTTAATGAGTAATTGATCATCAATTCATCACCGTCAGTATTGTGAAAATATTTTGCATTGTGATAATCTTATTGCCCACAACCTGTTTGATAAATTGTCTTTTTTTTTTCTTTTTTTCCTGTTAATGAAGTAATGTATACCAGTTTGATGAATTGTCTATTTTTTTTAATAAAGTAAATTACGATCATGCTAGTTGTTTTAATACTTGTGATTCTACCCTAACATTATAACCCACTCTTATATTTGGAGTAAAAAAGAAGGATACAAATCCTAATTGACTTGCTGATATTGTCTACTAACTTCTTGAAATATATTTTACTGTTTTAATTGTAAAATTTCTTAAATCATGTAGTTAATCTTTTTACTTTTGAAAATTTTAGATTGATATTGCTGTACAAGAAATTGTTCAAGGACGAATTTGTAATATTATGACTGCCATACTTAGACCAATTCCAGTGAAATCAAAGTCGTTAAAATAATTGTGTGCTTTGTTTTCCCTTTATAAAAAAAAATTGCTTTCAAGATGATTTATAGAATTGCAGTACAATGAACATATTTTATTTCCTAAAATAATGTGTATAACTAATAAGTGGGTAGGAAATAATATTTTAAATACAATTTAATGAGAATTGAATGATGGTCTAATTATTAATATTAAGTTTGTCATAGATTCCATTGGAATAAGATATATTCCATTGGAATAAGATATATACCATTAATTGGAGGAATTTGCTAGTTTTTATGCATAGCCCTTAGGCTATATAATTCGTAAAAGGTTAGGGGTACACTAAGTGTACAAGATTCCTTTTGTACACCACCAATAAAAAAACGCCAACTCATCAATGTAATAATGGAAACTAAAAAAAAAAAGAGGGAAAGGAAAAAAAAGAAGAGGGAAAGATGAGCGCCAAAATTTTCAGCCTAGGCGCCATTGTGAGGAAGGTGAGAGGCAAAATTTTCAATGGGCGGCAACAATTAATGGATAATACACCATTAATTTCCCAATTAAGCATCAAAATTTCCCATCTTCTCCCCCAAAATTTCATCTTTTCCCCCAAAATTCCTTGGCGAAGAACACATCCAATTTGAATAAGGGGAGAATTGTGAAAAAATTATTCAAGTGTGGATATTAATTTCGTCAATCAGTTACAAATATTCGCAGGTAATCTTGTTAGTTGCTGAATTATTTCGTTTAAAATTCCTAATTTGATGATTTTGATAATTTAGGGTTTTCATTGTTTGATTTTGAAGTAGATGATTTTTGGGTAAAAATTAGATTTTTATAAAGATTGAATTGAAAGGGTAAATCATTTAGATTAATAGATTGATTTGTATGTTGTCTTTGGTTTTGTTTCTTGTGGGATGTTATTTAATTGAAGGAATTTTCTTGGTTCTATTTTAATGGAAGCAATTGTTAAATGGAATCGAGGTTTATTTGCTGTCAATAATTTTATAGCATCTGTTTTTTATACGTAGGATCATTTTGTCAATATTAAATTAAAATATAATTTTATAGTATCTTTTTTTATTTTGTTGAATCTGAAATAAATAACAGTAGTGTGTTTGACATTGTGGCAGTGAAATGGAATGCAAAAACATGTCCCCTCGTTTGAACATTAATCTTAATGAAGTGATAAACGATGTGATTAGCTCAATCGGAGATGCAGATCGAATCAAACGATGTAACAAAAGAAGAAGCAACAATGCATGCCATTCGATTATTAATGAAGAAGCTGAGGTTACTAACATTAGTAATGAAGAGATTAAGGTTGAGGTT